GATGATGATGATGCTGATGCTGATGATGATGATGTTGATTATGATGATGGTGAGGTTGATATATACTGATGCTGCTGATGATGCTGCTGTCGATTGTGATGGTTGTGTTGGTCATGCTGGTGGTGGTGATGATGATTCTGATAACGGTGAGCGTTGTGGTCGTGATGATGAGGATGGGGAGCAGCACGAATGATGGTTGAGATGGGAAGGGGCAGTGGGGATGTGGGGGACAGGAACGAATGAGGACAACGATGACGACGAGGAGGTGGAGCATGGAGGGAACCTGATTTAGCAGAAGGAGGAAGAAGCGGACGAGGAGGCAAAGGCGCGATCGAGCTTATGACAGGTGGGGCGGCTTGGGCGTCAGAAGATGAGCCCCCCCGCTCCTCGGGCCCCCTCGCAGCCAACCCATGCCGAACGGGCCGCGATAGTGAGAGTGGGAGGGACTATGCCCGTGGTACGTGCGCAAGTCAATTTGCATGGCACGGTGCGCTCCTTCTCCCCCCTTCTCCCTCTCCACTTCTCCTCCTCCCCTCCTCCTCCTATTGGTTACGTCGTCTCCCCTTCTCCCCCTCTGAGCTCCTGCTTACCATCATATGACGGTAGCCGAGCGGCACAACGCCAGGGGGGCATTTGTTCCCTCCCTCATCCTGCATTGCTTCATTCCTCGTGTTGGCCCCGCGGCTGTTGCGCCGTGCGCCCAGGCGGAAGTAGTGAGCGAGCGAACGCACGTATGAGCCAACGCAGGAACAAGCGACCGCTCCCCTGTACACTGCGAGGAGGAGGAGGAGGAGGAGGAGGAGGGAGGAGGAGGAGGAGGGAGGAGGAGGAGGGGGGTGATGTTGAGGGCAGCGATGGGGCTAACGATACCATGGCGAGCAGAACTACGTAGGATCAGGATCAGGAGCATTAGGCGAACGGCATGAAGGGAATGTTATTGACGACGATGGTAACGCTGTGGTGAGGAGGTGGTGAGCGCGGATGTTGTGGATAACTATGAAAGTGACCCAACAATAATGACATGATGTGGCTCAAGTTGGTGATGGTGATAGTGGTGATGGCGATGGCGGTGGTAATAAAGGTGACGGTGACGATGATTTTGACGATGATGATGACCATGATGATGATGCTGATGATGATACTGATGATGACGATGATCATGATAATAAGGCGCATGACGGTGATGATGGTGACGATGATGATTCTGCGTATTGCGATGCTGATTATGATGATGGCGATTGTGATGCTGATGCTGATTTTGAGGTTGCTGCTGATGCTGGTGAAGCTGTTGCTGCTGCTCATGATGATGTTGAAGCTGTTGATGATGTGAGTGATAGTAGTTATGTGTAATGGTAATGGTACTGCTAGTAACAATGATGATGACGATGATGGTGGTGGTGACGATGCTGCTGATGATTGTGGTAATGAAAATGATGGTGGTGGTGATGATGACGACAATGGTGATGCTGACGATGCTGATGATGGTGATGGTGATGATGCTGATGATGCTGATGATGATGCTGCTGCTGATGTGGATAAGGATGCTGATGCTGATGCTGATGGTGGTGGTGGTGATGGTGATGATGTTGATGATGATGGTGGTGGTGATGATGCTGATGATGATCGTGATGATGATGATTCTGATGATGATGATGATGATGATGATGAATGATGATGCTGCTGATGTTGATGATGATGATGATTATGATGATGATGCTGATGATGATGATGGTGGTGGTGATGATGCTGCTGATGATGATGATGGTGTTTGCCGAGGCTCGGCCGAGTGCACCCTGTGTTGCAAACCTCAGCGTGGCGCGCCCTCACTCTCAGTTACTTTCCCAGCTTCTCCTTGCCGAACTCGATGGCGGTCGCGCAACCCAACCACCAGGCTGCAGGACCTTCTCGATCCTGCCGAGGTTCTGCCTGCCCGCCCGGAGCGCCCTCTTGCTGCACTCTCTGTCCAGGCACTCCATCGACTCTCTCGCTATGCAGCCCGCACGCCGGGCAGCAGTGCAGCCCCCAGCTGCTTGTTGTAGTCCAGCTTGTGGCTCTCGTGGGCGCTCAGGTTGCCGATCTGCGGCCGCACAGTCTGTAGCGCTCCGAAAAGGGGGCACGGCTTGCGCTTCCATCACCTCGCACGGACTCGCCAGCCACGACTCCGCCTTTGACTTCGGCATCCCGGATCCGCATCTCTCACGCTTCAGGTGTCTGGCTCCCACGTCCTCCGTCACCACATGCTTGTTCTCTCTGTTCAGCTTGGCGAGCCGTTTCTGCTTGTTGTGCGCCTACTTCCTCTCGGCCTTCGCTGCGATCTGCGAAGGTTTGGTTTCGATGGCCGCCATGAGCGTCGCGAAAGCCCGGCCTCGGATCAAGGAAGCGGTCCCTTCGGCCCTGCCCAGCTTTCGAGCCTCCGCCCATGGCACCTGCACGCTCTCGATGATGCCCTTCAAGAAATCGTCCGCCAAGCTGGTTTCCAGGAAATCGATCGCCTGGACTCCTGAGTTCATCGCCTCCTCCGCGCTCATGAGGCTCTCGTCTTGACCATGTCCAGCTCCTTGCCCTCCGTGGCCTGCAGCACCTCGTTCCACAGGTCGATGTGCGTCGCGGAGCTGTCGCGGGGCGCCATCGAGGATGTCAGGCGCGAAGCGGAGAAGGCGTCAGCAGTTTTTGCAGTTTACGCCCTTCCCTTCGGGGAGATCAGCGGCGTTGGAGCCCCTCCGGTGTTGCGCGGCCCGTGGGCTGCAGCAGTGAGCGCCATTCTTGGCTTGGCTTCCGAGGAACGGCCAGTTTTCCGAGACTGCTTGACGCTGGAGGTCTTCCGCGCGCCTGGCGGGAGATCCACGAGAGACGCGCCGTGTTGTCCGAGGCGCTCGGGCAGAAGCCGTGTCTCGTCGATGCCGCTGGCATGTCGAGAGCTGTGAGCGCTCGGCTCTACTGGACTTCGTTTCTCGTCTGCGAGGCTGCGGCGGTCAGCGTCAGGAGTGCAGAGACCGAGGCTGCCGCTGTAGTTAGTCCGACGTCGACTCTGGAGCGCGACGAGGTCTGGCTCGACCCGAGCTGGGCATACTGCGGCGACGACGAGGTCTTCAGGTTCCAGGCCAACGGATTCTACAGCGACGCTCTACCCTGCCCTGGCGGGAAGCCCGACAGAGCCCGACGGAGCCGACCGTCGGCCACGCAGCCGGGACACGGTGCGACCGAGTTTCGGCCACGATCGCCGGACAGAGCTTTGTTTGCGCGTGGCGGCGTCCCCATTCGAGCGATGGGCACCGCCGGTTCGCACCGCATCTTGCCCCCTGTCCATCATGAGCCTCGGCTCTTCGTCCTGCGGAAGCTCACCGACGGGAACGAGATTGCACGGCCGCTGTCACTCACCGAGTGCGAGGCCCCGCACGGCCTACTGACAGGGTGCACTGTCGCGGGCTGCAAGCCGACCAGTCTGCCTCCCAGAAGGCGCACGGCGCTGCCGAGAGGTCTGCATGACGTGGCCGCCAGGGAAGGGCCAGGGCCTCGTGGCGGAGAACACCTCCTCCTCCTCCTCCTCCTCCTTCTCCTCCTCCTCCTCCCTCTCCTCCTCCTCCTCCTCCTCCTCCCCCTCCTCCTCCCCCTCCTCCCCTCCCCCCTCCCCCTCCCCCTCCTCCTCCTCCTCCTCCTCCTCCTCCTCCTCCTCCTCCTCCTCCTCGCCTCTGCGGCGCCGACGCCGGAGGAGCTCCAGAGCAGCTTTTGTCATGGAGACCGCGCGTGGGGCCCGGCTGGAGTTGACGGCCATCTTGAAAACTGTGGCCGCGCTCCCGCCTGCGAGGCAGTGGGGGGAGCTCGCCCAGCCCGCTTCGAGGCTAAGCAGCCCTGCGCGCATGCACCTGCTTGTGACCGAGTTGTGCCGCCAGGCGCATCGCAGAGGTTGCGATGACCGGCTGGCCGTGCAGCGTCCCTGCCGGTACAGCGCCTGGCCGAGAGACGGACGGCATTGACTCGGGGCGCTGGGTATGGATGCGCCCCGGCGCGGTGCAGTGGCAACAGCACGCGCACGCGAGACGCGCGGAGTTGCAGGCCGTGCTCATGGGGCTGCGGTGGCGAATCCGATCCTCGTCGTCCTTGCAGACGAGGGTGTGCTGCCTTCTGCGTTCGCAGGTTGACCTCAGCGTGGCGGCCTAGGGCAGGTCATCCTCCGTTCGCGCTCTCTGCCTGGCCGCCGGCCTCCTGCCATTTTTTACGCGCGTGCGCACGACGCAGAGCCCTGCCGATGGCCCGTCTTGCGCCGCCGCCACGTTCAAGAAGGCGATGGAGGCCCAGAGGGTCAGTAAAATCAGCCTGGCGAAGGACCCAACCATCTGCAGCTGCGCGTAGTACGGGGTGCGACCTTTTCCTCAAAGGTAGCGCGCCGCGACAAGAATGGCGCGCGGGGCGGTGCAAATGGCGGCCACGAAACGCGTGAGTGGTGCGCCAAGGTGAGGGTGGAACTGCATGCGGGCGCTGCCACTGGGGCATTCGGCGGAGCCCCCGATGAGACCTCGAAACGTGCGAGGGTGCTCCTTATGGGGCCACGAAGCGTGTAAGGGGTGCGCCAAAATGGGGTCGGAACTGCATGCGGGCGCTGCCACGGGGGCCTTCGGTGGAGCTCCCTAGGGGGCCACGAAACGTGTCAGAAGTGCGCCAAGATGGGAGTGCAACTGCATGCGGGCGGTGGCACTGGAGCCTTCGGTGGAGCTCCCTATGGGGCCACGAAACGTGTGAGGGGTGTGCCGAGATGGGGGCGGAATTGCATGCGGGCGCTGCCACGGGGGCCTTCGGTGGAGCTCCCTAGGGGGCCACGAAACGTGTTAGGGGTGCGCCAAACTGGGGTCGGAACTGCATGCGGGCGCTGCCACGGGGGCCTTCGGTGAAGCTCCCTATCGGGCCACGAAGCGTGCGAGGGTGCGCCAAGATGGGAATGGAATTGTATGCGGGCGCTGCCACTGGGGCCTTCGGTGGAGCTCCCTATGGGGCCACGAAACGTGTGAGAGGTGTGCCGAGATGGGGTTGGAATTGCATGCGGGCGCTGCCACTGGGGCCTGTGGTGGGGCTCCCTCTGAGGCCACGAAACGTGTTAGGGGTGCGCCAAAATGGGGTCGGAACTGCATGCGGGCGCTGCCACGGGGGCCTTCGGTGAAGCTCCTTATGGGGCCACGAAGCGTGCGAGGGTGCGCCAAGATGGGGGTGAAATTGTATGCGGGCGCTGCCACTGGGGCCTTCGGTGGAGCTCCCCATGGGGCTACGAAACGTGCGAGGGGTGCGCCAAGATAGGGGTGGAACTGCATGAAGGCGCTGCCACTGAGGCCTTTGGTGGAGCTCCTTCTTGGGCCGCGAATCGTGTGAGGGGTGCGCCAAGATGGGGGTGGAATTGCATGCGGGCGCTGCTACTGGGGCCTGCGGTGGAGCTCCCTATGGGGCCACGAAACGTGTGAGGGGTGCGCCAAGATGGGGGTGGAATTGCATGAAGGCGCTGCCACTGGGGCCTTCGGTGGAGCTCCCTATGGGGCTAATAAATGTGTAAGGGGTGTACCGACATGGTGGACATGCGGAGGGCAGAGGGAGGGATGGGAGGAGGGAGTGGGCAGCGGGAGTGAGTGAGGTGACGCGGGGGGCTGTCTCTTCAAAACGAGAACCCAACACCACAGGATGGCTGGGAACACGCTCATGCTAGCCTCGAGGCGGCAGATCCTCACCGCGCGGGCGAGGGCAGTGAGACGACGAGAGCTCGTAGATGTGGGCAGATTGGCAGATGGCATTGCTTTCAAGCGCATGCTGGCGATATACACCGAGCTTCGCGCGGTTCGCCTTTGGTACTGATTCAATCTCGCGGCGTGCCGCGGCGGAGGACGTTGGCGACGCGCTGTCCATGTGCGTCGAGCGCCTCTGGCAGGAGTGCGAGCCAGAGAGCTGGGCCTCGATCGCGCTCGCTGGGGCGCAGCACTTCGCACCCAGACTTCGGCGTCACCGCCCTGCTCGACGCCTGCGGAGCGCGTGGGGCAAACCTGGAGCTGCCGGCGCGCGCGCCTCCTCTGACGCTCGAGGCCCCGCAGGCTCTTGCCGGGCTCGCCTGCGCCATTTCCTACCCGAGTGTAGGGGCAGCGTTGCTCTGCGCCTCGCGTTGAATGTTGCGCACTGGGGAGCTGTTGGCAGTCGGGCAGGCGCCTTCGAGTTCGACGTCGCGTGCGAGTCCTGCGCCCTCAACCTGCGCACCAGGAAGGGCGGCGCCCGCAGGGCGCAGCAGGAGTTTGCCACCACAGACGACGCCACTTTTACGGAATGGCTTGCCCGGCTTACGAGGCAGCACATGCCAGGGGATCCCTTGATGGACATGAGCCAGCAGAGGTTCAAAGCGTTGTTCACGGACCTTTTTACAGAACGTTGCGAGGCACGCAGCTGAGTTTCAAGCCTTACAGCCTGCGCCGCGGCGACGCCCCGCATCAATACCGCCGCCTTGGCAACCTCGACGTCGCGATGGTGACAGGCAGGTGGGCTTCTTTGCAAACGGCGAGGATATACGTCACGGATGGCCTCGCTACGCAGCAGCAGATCTCATGGGACAATGCGCACAGGCAGGAAGTTCGGCGCCAGCCCTCTTTCGCACTGCGCCGGGCCAGGTGGGGTAGCGCGTAATTACAGCCGTCTCTCCTCGTCGAGGAGCTTTATGGTGGCGGTGGCGATGCTGATTCGCCGAGCTCTCGGCCATTCTGCGGGACTTTTTTCGGTCTGCTGGAGGCGACCGTTTAGGTTGCCGTTCCGTTTTGCGTTTTGCCCTCGCTCTCAGCGAAGCTGAGCTCCAGCACAGTGCGAGGCAGGCGCGCGCGGCCCCCGCTCACTTTGGCTGGCGCCGCACGCCACGCCTCCTCGCCGAGCACCTGGCGCCAGCGAAAATACAGAGTGGGCGATCGATGATGCTGGCGATGACAGTGGTGGTGGTGGTGATGGTGGAAGTGGTTGTGCTGATTACGATGCTGCTGATGATGCTGAGGATGTCGACGGCGGTGCTGATGATGCAGATGTTCATGATGGTGATGAGGATGATGATGATGATGATGATGGTGATGATGATGAGGTTGTTGATGATGCTGATGATGAATAAGATGCTAATGATGATGACGATACTGATGATGATGCTAAGGACGATGATGTTGTTGATGGTGATGATGATGTTGTTGATGCTGATGATGTTGATGCTGATGATGTTGATGATGATGATGATGTTGTTGATGCTGATGATGTTGATGCTGATGATGTTGATGATGATGATGATGCTGATGATGATGATGATGATGAGGGTGATGCTGGTGATGCTGGTGTTGCTGCTGCTGGTGATGCTGATGGCGATGAAGGTGAGGATGATGAAGATAAGCGACCGGCGATGAACGACGAGGATGAGCGAGTCTGATTTTGACGACGAGAAGGCGACGAGTGTTAACGCACCGCAGAGGGAGGATGAAGGAGGGATGGGGACATATCCGGGCGAGGGAGGCTGGGATGGAGGAGAATGAGGACGAGTAGGGAGTAAAGGGGCTAACAAAAGTGGATGGTGACGAGGACACCGCATAATCAGAAGGAAAAGGATATGGGGAGGTGGATGCTGAATAGCAGCAGCAGCAGCAGCAGCAGCAGCAGCAGCAGCAGCAGCAGCAGCTGGAGGGAAGGCGGAGTGGGGTAGGATGAGGATGAGGGTTGCTTCGTAGGTGGCAGAAGAAACGAGCAGGGGAGGATCAGGAGACGGAATAGGGATGACGAGAGAAGATCGAAGAGGAGGAGGAAACGAGGAGGAACAGGAGGAGGATTAGTGGCGAGGAGAAAGGAACAGGTGGATGCGGAGATGAGGAAGGTGGGAAGAGGGAGGGAGGGGGAGAGAAGGAGGAGTAGTTGGTGGAGGAGGGGTGAACAGGAGTAGAAATGGTCGTAGAAGATCGAGACGAGGACGGTGACTGGAAGCAGGAGAATAAGATGAGGTCAGACAGGGAAAAAGAGCATGGCCAGCGGGAGGAGTGGAGGAGTTGGGGATCGCTCGAGGAAGATGGCAGTGATGGCTGAGAGGGGGGGGGGGGGCACGAGAAAGGAGGAAGTATGTATGATACTGATGGCGGTGATGGTGACTTTGGAGAAGAATAGGGTGAGCGATGCGTAGAGAGGATGGAGGAGGAGCAGAACGCGAGACCGCGGAGGGAGGACAAGGCTCGTGGAGGATCATCCAGAGCAGGATGAGGAAGGCTGGAGAGATGTGCGAGGAGAGAGGAGGTATAATGGAGACACGAATAGAGGAGGAGGGGGAGGAGGAGGAGGGGGAGGAGGAGGAGGAGGAGAAGGAGGAGGAGGAGGAGAAGGAGGAGGAGGAGAAGGAGGAGGAGGAAAAGGAACCCCCGGAGGGGTGCCCCGGTGTCTGGCGGTGCACCGGGGCCCTGGGGGAACTGCATTCCGCCCCTTCCCCTGGATGAGCAGGTCTCGTGACGAGCAACCCAGCCTTCCCGGCCTGGGGTCCCTCGCCTGGGAGTCTTGTCCGGGGGACCGGCTCTGCCGTCCATCTCTTTTTGCCCTCCCTGGTTGCGCAGGTCTCTTGTGGGCCCCCCTCAGCCTCCCCGGCTGGGGCTTCCCCCTCTGGGAGTCGTGACCGGGGAGGGTTCTACACCCACCTCCAAGGCGTGAGCGGGCCCGCGCGGTGGCGGCCCGCGGTGTTGTTTGGGGCGCTTCAGGCACTGATGGGCGTTACCACAGAGCGAAGCGAAGCGGAGGAGGAGAAGAAGGAGGAGTAGGAGGAGGAGGAGGAAGGGAGGAAGGGAGGGGGAGAGAGACAGGGGGGGCTCTCCATGAACATCCCGAGGCCTGGCATCCTGGTCGACGCGTTCCCCTCGCCCTACCCGAACGAAGAGGCCGCAATGACCACGGCGACCGACGACGACGGCGACTGACGACGGCGACAACGGTGACGGCAGCGACGGCGACGACGGGGATGGCTACGACAGCGGCGGCGGTGACGGCGGCGATGCCGACGACGACGGCGACGAGAACGGCGACTGCGACGGGAACCTCGACGTCGACGGCGGCGACGGCGGCGGGCCGCGGGGCTCGGAAGCGCGCCGCTGCCGCCAGCTCCCCGCTGCTGCTCCTTGTCCTCGGCGACGCCGTCCTGCAGTTTTCCCCCAGTCCCCCTCCCTCCTTTTCTCCCTGCTCCCTTCTCCCTCCTCGGTTCTTCTCTCCCTCTCTCTCTCTGTCTTTCTCTCTCTTTTTCTCTCTCTCTCTCTCTCTCCTTCCTTCCTCCTCCCTTCTCCCTCCCGCATGTCCCTTCTCCAGTCTGCCTCCCGCCCCATTCTCTCGACTTCCTTTATACCACCTTCCCTGCCGTCCCTCATTTATCTTCCCTTCTCCTCGCGCTCACCTCTCCCCCTCCCTCTGTCTCGTTTTCTCTCTCTCTCTCTCTCGCTCCCTCTCTCTACATATCTCACTCTCTCTCTCTCTCGTTCTCTCGTTCTCGCTCTATCTCTCTCTCTCTCTCTCTCTCTCTGCTTCTCTCGCTCTCTCTCTCTCTCTCTCTTTCTCTCGCTCTCTCCCTCTCTCTATCTTTCTCTCGGTTTCTCTCTCCCTTCCTCTCTCTCAGTGATGCCCTTCCCTCTCGTTATCTTGTTGTCTCTTTCTCTCTATCTCTCTTCCTGTTTCTCGATCTCTCTCTCTCTCACTCTTTCGCTCTCTATCTCGCGTCGATACCTCACCCACCTGCTGTCTGCGTGTACCACACACGGACGCCGCCCACGCACCGCCCTGCGAAAGCTTTCGCGCCTCCCGCGGTCCCAAGGACTGGCGGTGACGACGGTGAGTCTACGATTGACCCTGGTTCGGGCGCCAGCTCCGTCGTCAGTGACTCCGACATCAACGACCCCGACTATATCATCCTTGCCGGGCTTGCTGGAGCCAAATTCCATCCTGTCTGACACCGAGGTCATCTTGTGCCTCGGGATCGACACATGGGAGTCCATCCTAGCCAGGTGCGGCTAATTACCAGCCGGGTGCTCCGAACTCATTTCCGCTTGGACCGCGCTTCGCCACGAGTGCGCGCAGGAGTTTCCACCGAGATGCCAGGAGGACGTTTTCCTGGACTTATCGCGTGTACAGTAACTTCGTGCTGCTAGCACGGCCCCTTACTGGGCCTCTGAGGCTAAAAACGGCTCCGGAGTTTGGGAAGCCTTGCTGCAAACCCGTCCCCCCCGCCTGTGCTGCACTGTGTATGCCACTGCGTGCGCAACTAATTCAGACCGAGCTTCGCATGATTGGGGGGAGCGTAAGACCCGGGTTTGCCAGGACTCGGGTTCGCCACCGTTTTTTGACGACCGCGACTCGGATTTTGGCGAGGAGGAGTTTTGTGGGATGTCTGCAGCGGGAGGCCTCGTCAAAATGCAGGCTCGGCCTCGTCATTTTTTGACGACCTCGTCGGGGATTTCCGAGTCTCCCGTACCCGGGTCTCACGTCTCCCCGAACGATGCTCGAAGCAGCGTCGCATGCACCACTGGAGTTCCTGAACGAGGCCCTCACCCGTTTCGTCGGGAGCCATCCCGCCGACAGCGCGTGTGGGGGGCCTCGACGACCGGGCCCATGCGGGAGGCCAGGAGCCTGCCCGCGATGGCGTGCTCTTTGGCTGCTCGGCCTCGTGTCCTGCACGCTCGGCAGGCCACCGCGGCCCTCCCCGAGCCCCTCCCTCTCGGGAGGGGGGAAGCACACAGACACAAGCAATCGTCGAATCCCAAGAAATATGTGAAACTGTGGGAAGTGGGGGTGAAGACGAAAACCCAGCAACGACGGGAAGATATGGGGTGTCCTGGGATTTGTGTGAGTTTGTTTGTGTGTCCCAGGGCCCCTTCGCTCCTGCAGATCCCAGACCCTTGCCTGCGGAAGGGTAAAGGGGGAGCGCCTTCCCCCCCCCCACGGATCAGCGCCTTCGTCGGCGAAGAGAGGCTGCAGCATGAGCGCCCCACGGGAAGTCGCGAGGGCATGCTTCGCTTTGCTGCCTCCTGATCCTCGCCCCGACGGGGGCGATCGCAGTTATCGCCATTGCGACCCAGAGTCGAGCAGATGCTACTGGTGAGAACCAGCGCCTCCTTCTGTGAGGTCCTCCTGGATGTACGCCCGAGAGGCCCTGGCCTACCGCGCCCTGGGGGGCCTGGCGCAAGCAGTGCACGCACGCCACCAGCTTTGGGGCCGTCCCGCACGCCACCATCGGCGACGTCAGTACCCCTCTGGCTTCCCAGGTCGAGTGCGCCCGCCACGCTGCCCTGCACCTAGCTGGAGCGGCCCAGGACAGGGAGGAGCGCTTCGATGACCCCTGGCATCGCTCGGACGTGTGTATTTTTTTCTCGGCGAGGACCCCTGAGGAGCATCCTTGATCATTTGGCGAAAAAGCCACGCACGAAACCGAAAAAAGCACAGGGAATGGACGTCCGAGCGATGGCGAGAGGATGAGCGCCTCGATTACCTCATCACCGACGTCTGCCTTGAGCTTGCTCTCCGCGCGCAGTGCCGCGGACATCGCCTCCGTGCGGCAGGCGTTCTGCACTCACCACGTCCGCAGGTCCGCATGGCGGCATCGCATCGCCCGCCCCTGGCCCGCATGAGCGGCCACCTCCAGGGCAGCTCACGATCCTGGGACGCCATCCATCTTGTGATGTGCGTTTGGACGACCAGCAGGCAACAGTGCAGCACCGCTCTGTGCCGCGGCCGCTCGGCACCACGCTCGCCGACGACGGCAACCCCACGGCCCCCCGTCGCCGCTGAGCTCGACCTCTCGCTGCAGGAACCGTCCGTCTTGACGGATCCTCTTGGCAGAAGGTCCACCCTTTGCAACATCGTTGGGCAGGCCTTCGGCCCGGGCGTGCTAGACCAGGTCCCTGCCCTTTCTCTCAACGGGGCCCCTCTCTGCGTCCACTCCAGGGTGACGCCGAGCGGATCCTACATCAGCGTCGCCCTTGCCCCCGAGGTCCACGAGATCCATCTCGCCGACACTGTTGGCGCCCGTGACCTCAAGGCTCAGGCTCGGCTCCCGCGCGTGGCCCGTTTCCCGGAGGGCATGGAAGGCAAGGCCAGGATTGCTCTGTCCGTAGTCGCCAGCGTCTACCCCACGGGCGCCGACGAGCAACCCCCTCGGCGAAAGGCGAAGGCCTTTGTCAAGGCCCTCTTTGCCGCCCTCCGCCCACGTGGCCGAGCGTAGTTTGCTTTCGACATCATGCTTGCTGCGTGCGTCCTGGGGCACGCGCTCGACCTGTGCGCCATCACGCAACGTGAGAGCCTCCTCCAGGTCCGCCGGCAGGTTCGCCGAGAACCTGGGCGGCTGGGCGTCATAACCCACCGCCTTTACCACGCCGTCCAAACCCAGCGCGGAGGTGGGCCAATCGGGCCCCTATGGCAGACCATAGCCTATTTCGACTGGACCTGGCACAGATTCCGCCGCATGCTGGACAATTCTGGGGCCGAGGCCTCCTGGCCTGACGACCCTGCTGTAAGGGTCACCCACGTGCTTAGGACGTCCCAGCATGCTGCATCCCCGAGCCCAGTCATGACCTTGCCTCCCTCTTCAAATATCCGCAGAGGGTCGACGTGTAAGCCACGACCCGGCTAACTCGCACCACTTGGAAGGCCTGCTGTGCCCCTTGGCAGCGAGGCCTCCTCTCCCACTACCTGTGCGGAGGCGACCACACGAAACGGCGCACTGTCCTGGCCAGCATTTCCGCCGACGACTCACCCCCCTGTCGCTACAGCGACGAGGAGGAAGAGACGCAGGAGCACACGTTCCGGCGCTGCCGATGCTGGGCCCACCAACGCCGCCCCTTGACGCCCGGGCTTTTTGATGAACAGTGCGGCGCGCTGCCCCGCGCAAACGCAAGTGCGGTGTCTTGAAGAGGAACGGCGCCTGTTCGACATCCAGGCCGAACTGCCCAGGGACCCCCAGACGCAGCCTACATCGAGGCTTGCCCAGGAGGGCGAGGATTCGGACGTGCGCCGACAGTACAGCGACCAGGTCACAGGCGCGAGGTCAGGTGGACCTGTGCGGCGAGCGGCGGGGTCTGCTCACACCACGCCCACCACCTCTTCGCCCGTGCCGCTTGCGGCATCTTCTACGGGCCGATGCCCCGGCTCAATCTATTCGGCCCCGCGCCCACGTCCTCCCCCAGACGGCGCGGCGCGCCGAGGCGCTGGCGCTGCCCCACCCGGTGGCACCCGCCGAACGCCGTCGTCGACGACCAGGCTGGCGTGGACGGCTTCCAGGGCCTCCTCGACGGAGCACCACCACACCTGTCATGTTCCACGCCAAAAAGGTGTCCAGTCACCTCGGCAAGGAGGGGGTGGCCGCTGGCCACATAACCGCCACCGCTGAGTGCTCGAGCTGGCATGCCGGCACCCTTGCACCCGACGCCGTGGCCCTGCACAGCGTACCACAGGACGTCGTGGAAGCGGCGGAGACTCGCCAGAAGGTCGCCGGCCGTCGTCCGACGCAGCGGGCCCGCGTTTATTTACGACCGGCGGCAGCGCCCTGCCCCTCCCACACAGACATGCGGGCTACACGGAACACGAGTCAAACGCAAAGACCCTCACCCCGACCACGGCGGTGCACCGCATCCAGCCGGCGCGCCACTGCCACAGCCGCCCGACGGCCCGGACGACAACTGGGCCAACCAACGGCCATACATGGACGACGAGGACACATTCAGCCTTAGTGGAACTAGTGGAACTATGGGCCAGAACAACGACGACGACGACGACGACGACGACGACGACGACGACGACGACGACGACGATGACGACGACGACGACGACGACGACGACCGCGACCACGGCCACGACCACGACCACGACCACGACCACGACCACGACCACGACCACGACCACGACCTCGACCACGACCACGACCACGACCACGATCACAACCACGACCACCACGACCACGACGACCACGATGACGCCGACGCTGGCACCCCGGCTCCCCGCGCACAGGGCGGCCGCGCGGGAGCTCATCCTGGCGTCGGCGGGCCCCTTTTGTAGAATCCACAGGCGACGCTCTCGTCGTTTCCTGGGGCCGTGATCATGAGGACGACCTTTTCGGCCTGGGTGGAAGCGCGGGCAGCGACGACGACCCCCCGACGGGTCTGGCGAGGCCGCTCCTCAGCAGCCCCAGCGCCCCAAGCTACGCCCCTCCCGGCCGCCCCAGCCGCCCAGAGCACGAGCGAACATTTCCCCGCTTCCGTGACTGGCCAGCCTACTGCTGCGGTCAGGCCGCCCGATCGGGGCGTGCACCCCGAAGCCTCCCCGCGCGGTACCGCCGCGCCGGCGTTCACCCAGGGCCCCCCTGCCGGCCGCCCCCAGGACCCCGGCGGTCCTTCGAGACGGGCGGAGCGCCCTGAACACCTATCACGCTGCCGCTTAAGTGCAAGTAAGTATCCGAGCCCATCCCCACTCCCCCTCTCCCCCAATCGCCTCTCCCTCCCCCCCCTCCCTCCCTGCCCCCCCGGCCCAGGGGCACCCGAGTGGGTCCCTACCCCCGTCACCGAGTGGGAATCTCCGGCGTTGGGGTTAATGGTACCAGGTCCCTGGCCACGACAGACGCCAACCACCGGACACTGCCTCTTGGAGAACTGGCCCCGTAGCATTCCGCCGATGAGCGAAGTTTTAATACTTGATTCAATAATCCCCCTTCCTACCCTCTCTCTCTCCTTCCCTCCCTTCCTCCCTCCCCCCTCCCTCCTTCCCCCCTCCCTCCCCTCCCTCCCTCCCTCCTCCCTCCTCCCTCCCTCCCTCCTCCCCTCCCGTCTCCTCCTCCTCCCTCCTTTCCTCCATCCCTCCTCCCTCACTCCCTCCCTCCCTCCCTCCTTCCCTCCCCTCCTCTCTCCCTGTCTCCTCGCCGTGGGGCGGCAACAAGTGAGCAGCGGCAGAGCAGGGGTTTCAGCGTCGCCGCCAGGCGGCCCGGTACGCCAACGGCGGCGCCCTGCCTCCCGACCTGCCCAGGGCCCAGCTTTCGGCCTGAGGCGGCGGGGGTCAGCGCGCGGCAGCGGCGCCCAGGGAGCGGTCGGCCCCACTCTTTCTCCTCCTCCTCCTCCTCCTCCTCCTCCTCCTCCTCCTCCTCCTCCTCCTCATCCTCCTCCTCCACCTCCCCCTCCTCCTCCTCCTCCTCCTCCTCCTCCTCCTTCTCCTCCTCCTCCTCCTCTTCCTCCCTCCTCCTCCTCCTCCTCCTCCTCCTCCTCCTCCTCCTCTGCCCCTGGAGGGGTGCCTCGGCGCGTGGGCGGCGCGTCGGGGCCCCAGTGGAACTGAGATCCGCCAAGCCGTGGCCTGAGCGGGGGCTGCGCTGCGGTAGGAATGGCTGGGCTCCGTGGTCGCTGGCCTGCGCACCCTGGGATCGCCCCTGGGTGGTGCAGCTGGGTCCTTGGTGCCTGGTCCTTCTCTTCCGTGCGGTCCCACCGTGGGCGCCCCTTCGGTGTGCCCGCCGGAGTTTAAAGAGTGTGGGGCCGGGGTCACCCCGACCATAGGTTGGCGGGGGAGGCTGGAGGGTGCCGGCCGAGGGGGTGCCAGGGTCCTGCGGGGCTTGGGGCGGCACCCAAGGGGGTGTCGTTATCTGAGTGTGAGGCAGCGGCGAGTGAGGCATGGACGTGTGAGTGAGCCGGGAATTGTTGCTAGGATGTAGTGGACAGGGACCCCCACAGGGATGGCGCGCGCAGTCTCGCGCGGCTACTATCTGTCCTCGGCTTCCTCCCCGCTCCCCTCTCCGCCGCGCTGTCCACCTTGCCAGAGACCGCCAGGGCCCCACTCCGAGGGTTTTTCACCCGGGCCAGGAGGCCCGCAGCCCAGTGGGCAGGGGCGGTTAGGCTTCGCGCTTTGCTGCTTAACAGCCGACAGGGCGCGGCGGCTTGACCACTGCCCGCTCATGTGCCTCGCACGAGAGCGGGCGTGCCGAGCTGTGCTGTACGCATTTTGTTGGATTCAACACTGGTATTGAAACTCCTCCTCCTCCTCCTCCTCCTCCTCCTCCTCCTCCTCCTCCTCCTCCTCCCCCCCTCGTCGTCCTCCTCCACCTCCTCCTCCTCCTCCTCCTCCTCCTCCTCCTTGGGTTGTCTCGGCCCTGACCGTTGCTTTGCCCCAGGTTCTCCGATGTTTATTCTTCCCAGGCGTCGGCTGGGATGCGTGCTCATCGTCCTGGCGTTCGCTACACCAGGGGTGAGCTTTGTGTCTAGGTCTGGAGACGCCCGACTGCATTTGAAAGCGTGTGTATGTGCGCGTCCTGCACGTGTATCAGGCACCCCACTTTGGGGGAAGGTGCGCTGCACGAGTGTAGACTTGCGCAGTGGGCATTGTCTGGGGGTTGGGCCTCCTTCTGCGGAGGTGCAGGTTACGCAGCCTGCCTTGAACCCGAGCCTTCGGGTTCCTCCAGCATTTGGTGCCCTTTGCCCTGACCTTTTGTTTTTCATCGGGCAAGGTGGGCCCTTGTGCACGGCTGGGGTGGTCCTCGCGGGCCCCTGGTGACCGTTGCGCGGGTGTTGCCTGTGGGAGTTTCTGGGCTCGGTCGGCGGGGGGGGCAGGTTACGCTGCCTGCCGTGGAACCCGAGCCTTGGGGTTCCCCCTGCCGCCGTTGCCCTTCTCCCCCCCCTTTTTCCCGTTCGGGCAGTGCTTCCCTGGTGCACGGCTTGGTGGCCTCGGGCTGCCTGGCGAACGCTGCGTAGGGGAGCCTGCGGGGGGCGGTGGGCACGGGGGCAGCTGGGTGCCAGCCGCTCCGACCGTAGCTCACTTCCTCTCCATCTCCCCTTTCAGCGAGGTGGAGGTCAGCCTCCCTGGTCGCAACGCCGTCCAGGGTTGGCCATTTACGCCAAGGAGCGTCCTCTGAGGGTTTCGCCGCCCCTCAGTTTCATCGTGGCTGCATTGTCGTTGGACAAAAAATCCTCCTCCTCCTCCTCCTTCTCCTCCTCCTCCTCCTCCTCCTCCTCCTCGGTGAATTAGCTGCGCCAGAGCTCCGTAAGCTCCAGCAGACTTGTCCGGAACTGAAAGCGATGTTCATCAATTCGAGGCCAGCGTGGGTTTGGGCACACATCAAAACCATAGTGGGCGGGTGGACGACCACACGCACAGAGTCAAGGTCGAGACGCCTGCCAACTGCCTTTTCGGATGCCCTCATCGTCCGGATTCTTTCCTTCACTATCTCGCTTGCCCCCGCCTCCTTGGCTTTATGTGCCTCGTCCGCTCCCCTCCCCCCTCCGATCCCGTCATCCGCATTGGGCTCGCTCTCCCGCCATTGTATACTTCCCAGTTTGAGCGAGAGAGCGCCCATGCACACACGGTGCTTTCATTTCACTTTAATAAAGTACGGCACGCTGCATCCCCACCCCAATCTTCCTCATCATACGTTCACTTACTGCGCGCAGCTCAAGCTGCCATCAGCACGTACATGAGATCGGCACCTGCTGCGTCTCATGCGACTTGCGCTCCCCCTCCTCCTCCTCCTCTTCCGCCTCCTCCTCCTCCTCCGCCTCCTCCTCCTCCTCCTCTCGAAGGGGGAGAGGGGGGGCGGAGGGAAGGGCGCCTTCGAGGGCGCGAAGTTATTCGCGCTTCGCGCTTCTTGGTTCGGCCTCGATTCTTCCTCGCCCTCCTCTTCTCTTCTGGGGCCCTGGGGGGCGGCGCGAGAGCGCGAAGTTAGGCGTTTTCGACGAGTGGGATGGGGATGAGGCATGGGGGGGCGAGGGGTGGAGGGGGGCAGGGAGGAGGATGACGAGGATTGGGTTGGGGAGGAGGGGCAAGGGGGGGATAGAGGAGGAAGGGGAAGGGGAAGGGGGAGATGCCTTCCTCATCCTCCCCCTTCTTCTACTCCTCCTCCTTCTCGTCCTCCTCCTTCCGCCACTATTGCCTTACATTCTTCCCCCTCCTGCTCCCCCCCCGTCTTTCGACGACGCTTTGCCCCCTCCTCCCCTTTCTCATCGTCTTTCTCCTCATGCTAATTGCCCCTACTCCTTCTGCCCCTTCTTCTGCTGTTGCTTCTTCTCCGCATCTTCTCCTCCTCCTCCTCCTCCTTCTCCTCCTTCATTCTTTCCCCTCATGGGTAACTCCTCCATGTCGCGCCTCGAGGCCGGTCGGAAGGGCGGGTTGGGCGTTTCGCATGAGACACCCTTACCATTTATGGGCCTGAACTTTAGAAGCTGGCACCAGTTTCACAAAAAAACAGGAGGGCCCGATGCTTCCAACATGTGGATTTCGCCTTCGCGCCGCGCAGTTTTGTTTTTTCAACTTGCAAGCGTTTCGCGTATTCAGGGCGGGTCGTGTTGAAGCCGTGGTTCTCGCTGGAGCGCCGCGCACATTCGCCTTCAACCTTTGGACGAGTTTGACAGGTCGAGGGCGGAAGGTTTTCGCAATGTGACTCGCGCCGTAGCGCCCCGCACACTCGTCTCAAACATCTGCAAGACTGTCACTGGTGGAATGCAGGCCAGTTTCAACATGTGGTTCTCGCCGTAGCGCCGCGCGCATGCGCTTCCACATATTGCAAGAGTGTCACGGATTGGGGGCGGGCCGTTTTCGAAATGTTCTCGCCCTAGCGCCGCGTGCATTCGTTGCAGAAGCTTGCACGGAACTCACGGATTGAGGGCGGCTTCTGTCCAAAATGTGGTTTTTGCCTCAGCGCCGCGCACATTCGTTAAAACCAATGACAAGAGTTTCGCGGATTCTCGTGGTTAACCTTCCAGAGCGGAGATGCTCGAACGATCCAGGGTTGTCATGGCGCACCATTTACGTTGATTCGCGGTGTGAAATCGCCAGGAATGCTTTTCTGACGCGACTCAGGATCGCCAAGACGCAAAAGTAAGTTTGACTCGTAACGTTGAAGGTATGAGAATAGTGTTCTGGCAAGCGTCCGGATTGTCTCACGGATGTCTCTTAACGGGGTATTTTTCTGAGTGGAAGCGAATTTTTGTATGGGGCCTATGAAGAGGGAGCTTAGAGGGAGGGTGTATCACAACATCGCTGATGAGTCTCGGGTTTGCACTGGTCCTCCTCTTCCTTCTCGTCCTCTCCCTCTTCTTCCTTCTGGAGGAGGAGCATCAGCATGGAGAAGAAGGAGGCGTAGGAGATTCGGAGCAGGAGGAGAAGGAGCAGCAGGACCGGGGGATAGGATGTCCTTCTCTTTGTTCCCTTTCGCCCTTTCCCAAGCTCTCCCCCCTCCCCCTCCCTCCTACATTCAGTGTGGGCACATGCCAAGAAACACCCTGCTCGCCTCCAGGGTGCCCTGGGATTTGGGTTTCGATGATCGTGCGATGGAAAGCATGACGTTCCCGCATCAAAAACAAATGGACGCCCTGGGTTGTCAGGGTTGGGTTTCTTGTGGAAGGTTTCTTGTGTCAGGCGATCGCAAGCATGGATCAAGGGGGCGTGGATTAGCGACGGGTCCAGTTTGCATGGGAATCGCGGATTCCCGCCGCCGAACGAGGCGGCACTGGCCACATTTCGTGGATGGCACTTCCCCCGATCCATGGATTTGGCGACCGCGCGCCAAATCCATGGATCGCTAATCCATGTTTGCGCGCCCCCGAGAAATGGGTACGGAAAGAATGGGTACAAAGACCAACAGCAGTTCTTGTTCATTCCGAACAGGATTCGCTCACCGCGCCGCCACGGACGTTCTCCATTGAAGATAAGAAGCCGCCCGCCCAACAGCTTTCGCTGTCGGTTTTGGACAATGTTTGTTGTTGGGCATCGTACCCATTTTTTCCGTACCCATTTCGGGCGTCCAAATCTCCCCTCCCCCCCTCGACACCGACCTGGTCCTTCCCTGGAGGGCGTCCCGGCCAGGCGCCCGAGGCGGATCCGGCCGTTGCGCCGAGGCCCCCCCAGGTGGCCCAGAAAGGGCAGGTGGCGCCACGAGTCGCCCTGGAGGTCGACGCCTCTTCCCCCCTCCTCTAAGGGGGGGGGTGCAGGCCTCTCCCCTCCTCCCCCCCTCCTCTGAGGGGGGGGGTGCAGGCCTCTACAATTAT